ATCTAAAGGCTAGCTTTGATTAAATAGTTACGGAGAGGGTTGAGATATCCTTACCTGAAGTTTGGTTATGAAAGGTACCAGAATCCCTAAATGCCACTACACGTGTCATTACTGGAGCCAGAAAACACCATTGTGAATGAGTAAAAATCACTAAAAAGATTGCAGCACGCCCAATCTAAAATGAATCTCGCCAAAGTCATCAGGATCTGGCCTCCCCACGATTCAACCGCTCCTTCCCTGCTACATGTAAGACTTTCAAGTACCTTCTCCGTCGTCGCACTGTGTGCCAAGAGCAAATCTACCTCCTCATCATTGTACCGCACACCAGGAATAGATCTCCCTCTCTTACTACGATGCGACTCTTTCTTCCTAGCACGTCACGCGATGATCGCACGCGAGCCTTCTTCTTCGGTCGTTGTTTCTTCGCTTCGTGTGGATTGGCAGCTCATCGCACCTCCCTTCTCCCTCTCTCGTTGCAGCATGACTCTTTCTTCCTAGCACGTCATGTGACGATGGCGCACGAGCTTTTTTCTCTGGCCGCCGTTTCTCTGCCTCGCGTGGATCAGCTGCTCACCGCACCACCCTTCTCCCTCTCTTACTGCAGCACCACTCTTTCTTCCTAGCATGTCATGCGACGATCGCGCGTGAGCTTTCTTCTTCGACCTCTGTTTCTCTGCCTCACATGGATCGACTGCTCGTCGTGCCTCCTTTCTTTTTCTCTACTCCTCACTTCCCCCCTTAGGGTTTCTTTTTTTTCATTCATTTATTATTATTATTATTTTTTTTCTTTTTTTTATTCTCCCTCTTTTTTTGTTGTTCGTTACAAAAATGTAGGAATTTGAAGATGTGTATGTCATAGTTGATAAATTTATCTTTTCCATGAATTTCATTGTCCTTGATATGGAGGAAGACCATAAAATACCACTTTGGATGCTCATTTTTTGCCATGAGAAGAGCTATAACAAAGATAAATCTTAAGAATGCACAAAAATCAAGTGGTGGTTGATATGATATAACAATGAAATGTACTTTTAACCACTCTACTTTTTTTTGCTTTGAGTTTAACATGAGAAATCTAAAAGAAAAAATTGAAGAATAATCCATTAGAGGAGTACATGGAATCAAAACAACTATAAAATTGTGGGAAAAGAGTTGTTTATGGTGAAAATGATGTCAATCCAGAGAAAATCAGCTCATAAGATAAACTGAAGAAGCAATTGTTGAATGTTTTGAGAATACCTAAGAAAGGAATTAGATTTTCCAAGTAGCAATAATTTTTTATTTATGTTTAGAGTAGTTTAATTCTCTATTTTAGTTAGTTGTTCAAAAAATATATTTCTTCATTTTTTATCAGGGGACAAAACTAGGCATTGTGGTGCTAGTTTTCAGAGCTACAAGATTAAGTTTTGTCCTTAAAACACAAAAAAAAAAAAAAATTAAAAATTGAAAAGCATACAGAAATTGGAATTGAGATGCCATCTTTTCATAGCTACAACCATGAGTTCCTGCCACCATATATATATATATATATATATATATATATATATAAACTAATTTAGCATTCTGCATTTTTCTTTACTTTTTTTGGTTGTTTGTTTGCGTTGTCGAAAATTCTTGGAATAAGTTTGATGGAGGGAAACAATATCTATTTAATTTATTCTCATTTCCTATTTTAATTTATGATTTAACTTGCAGTTTATTGTTAAGTCACTTTATTTAAGGTCATTTTTATGTTTTAAGCCTAATTTTGAGTCTTTTTAGACTTTCTATTCAGTTCATGAGAGTGACTAATGTATTAAGTTTGTATTCAAATAGCTAATGATGAAAATAGGTTGAAAAAAATGTAACTTTAGAAACCTTTGAATATTCACATGTTTAAGTGATTGATTTGATTGATAAGATTACCATGCTTTTGAGTTCTTTATATTGCAATAACCATGAATATGTAGTTGATTGTGCGCTTAGAGAATTTTATGTAGACTGAAGGATACACTTAGAATCTAATCAATTTAGAACTCATGTAAATAGTATTCAAGATGAAATCTTAAAAAAAATTATCACTTAAAAGGTGATGGATGTGGTAGCTATAATTGCAAAAAAGACACTAGAAATAATGGTGAAGCTCAAAATCAAAAACTATAATGTTTTTATTATAAAATTTGGCCACATTGTAAAATTTTATCAACTCAAAGCTGAATATACAAAATTTACTGAAGAGAAAAAAAAAGAAGATGAGACTGAAAACTTATTTTTGGTTTTATGTTACTAAAAATGAATGTTTGTTAAATATATGGTATATATATACAACGACTGCAATAATCATATGACAACATATTTGAATACTTTCATAAGTATAGATAAAATAATCAAAAAATGAGTAAGATGGGAGATGGTATAGTTCGTGAACTATGTAGATTCAAGTTTGTCAAATATAAGGCAATTTTTAAGAGAAGGGTGTGCACTTATTTTTGAAAATATGTCATGTTTTTTTTTTAAAAAAACTAAAAAGTATATGTTGTTCAAAATGTCTATGGCTGAGAAAAATATGATTCCTCTCTCTTTAGAGTACAAAGATCAAGCACTTGCAGTCTCATTTGATGATAATTGCTAATTATGACACCACAAGTATGGGCATTTGAACTTTAATAATTTGAAGTCTGTGTCTAATCAAGTTTTAATGGATGGACTGTCTATAATTCAACATGTGAATGACCTATATAAAACTTGTATGTTTGAAAAACAATATCGAGATACATTTTAAAAAGGATTGGCAAGGAAAACATCAAGTCCGATTGAGTTAGTTCATGCCGATTTTTGTAGTCCTATGAGAATTCTTTTACTAAATAACATATTATATTTTATTGTGTTTATTGATGATTATAACAGAATGACTTGAGTCTATTTTGTAAAAGAAAAATATGTTACCTTACCTATCTTTAAGAAGTTTAAAAATGATGTTGAGAAATATAGTAAAAATACTTTGAAGATTCTCAGGATTGATCAAAGAGATGAATTTATTTCGATTGAGTTCAAAGATTTTTATAAAGATTGCATCATTGAAAGACAATTGGTTAGTTACATATTCCAACAAAACAGTGTGGTGAAGCGAAATAATAAAAATCTAGTAGAGATAGCAAAGTGCATGCTGAATGCAAAAGCTCTTCCAAGAGCCATTCACAAGGCTATTTTGTTTCTTAATTGGAGCCCTATATTGGCCATACAGAATCAAATACATTTTGAAGCTTAGAATGGGTGGAAGCAAAAATAACTCACTTCAAAGTCTTTGGTTATATTTCTTATATTGATATTTCTTATGAAAAAAGACACAAAATTGATGAAAATATTGTTAAATGCATATTTATGAGCTATAGTGATGAAAAAAAAGAGTATAGTTTTTATTATCCTATCATTAAAAAATTTATTATTAATTGTGATGTTGTATTTTATGAGAAAAATAAGTAGAATTGGGATGAGAAACAGAGCTGTTTAGAATAATTTAAAGCTAGTGATTATATTTGTAATACTTCAGCATATCCAACGAATGATGATAATGATGATTCAAATCCTTCAAATCCATCTAGCCTAACCAATCCGTCAACAACTGCATCTTCAAGTTCAAGCTCAAGTGATAAATCTCCAAGAAAGTAGAGATCTTTGAAGAATATCTATCAGAAAACAAAATGTTGCCATTTTACACAAATTTAAGAACATAATGATTCTAAAGATACTACAAGCTCGAAAGAATGGCGTGATGCTATAGATGAAGAATTGAAGGCCTTTGAACGAAACAAAATTTGACAGCTTGTTGAATTGTCTAAAAGTAAAGAAGAGGTAGGATTGAAATGGGTTTACAAATTACAATTGCAACAGCTCAGATCTTGATATTATTGTGTTAGGAAAAGATCTTGCTTGTGATTTCCACAACTTTTTCCTTGGAACGATAAACATTGGTGGTTTCAAGATCACCAAGATGATCTTTATATACATGTTCGTTTCTTGGCTATCGTTTAAACCAGTCTCATCCAACATATTACATTTCTACTACTTTTCTTTAGTTCTTTTTGTTTTAGCATTTTATTATTGAAGGATTAGGTATGAGCATAGATGTCTACATATATCTCCTTTGAGAACGTGGGGATTAACTTTCCCATAACTATATCCTCACGCGGTATGGCCATAAAGTTAATGGCTTTAAATTTTGTTGGCGTTGAGATTTTAAGGCAGATTTTTATATGTGTGCGCGCGCGCGCGCATGGTGTTGTGGTGAATGCTTGCCCAGATTGGTTGGATTTCGGATTTTGCTTTCTGTATGAAACTGTAGATAATAATGTTCTGTTCTGGGTCTACTGCCCTGCTCAGTGCTCAGGCCTGTTTTGGGTGTCATTTTTTCAGCTTTTGTTCTGTTAAGAGTGCAGTCCACATAGTTGCTTTTTTTGTGTGTATATCTATCTGTACATACGTATATACAATAAAATTTTATTTACCTTCAAAAAAAAAAAAAAAAACAAGAAAACTATTCTTAATTACCAACTACAATATAAGTAAAATTCTTAATAATATAACCCAATTCGTCAAAGTAATATTTAAGTTTTTCTTTGAATAAATTTAAAGATTGAGATTAATTAGAAAGATACTTAGCGCAATAAATAATACCCATTTGAAGTCATATTCATATTTATTGACCTAGCAAACGAGAAAGAAAGAATCAAAGCGTAGTGGGTTAATGTCAAATCGGCCAAAACTCAGCCTTCTTCACTTTGGAGAGGCTTTCCAGGACACCCACCGGTGACACATGTCCCATCACAGTCACCATCTTCTTCTCCAAATCTATACTGAATGATGTTACTCCTGTTTCGATATACCATTAAAATAGATGTATTTATAAATTGTATTTAATTAAATTTAATATTAGAAGTAGGTAGGGATTAGGAAGTAGATTGAAGTTGTGAGCCGGCAATTAAGTATTAATTGTATGAATATATACGTATTACTTACCTTCCATTTTAGAAAGATGTTTCTTGACCTTACCAGCGCAACCTTGGCAATGAAGGGAGACCCGCATGACAACAACCTGCAACCAATATTCTTTATATGAATATATATATATATATATATATATATTATATACTATTTCATTCCTATCTCATGTTCAAGTTAATTTTAATGAAAACCCAATAAGTGAATACATATATGTATATATTTTTTCTCAACTAAAACTAATTTAAAGCATATATGTTACTAAGATGTGTTTGATTTCACTATATCAAATTATTGAGAAAATAAATTTTTAAAATGTGTACAATTATAATAAAATATTAAAAAATATAAAATTTAATGTGATTCAATAATTATACATATATCTACAAAAAAAGATGGGAAAAAAAAATTCTACTATAATCAAATAAAAATATATCATTAATAAAGTTATAGAGCCTAGAAATTATGAAAAAAATAAAATAAAATATTCTCTAAAATATACACAAATATTTTTTAGAATATATATAAAATTTCTATTTAAAATATAAAATATCTATCAGCATATAAACAAAATATTACATAATCTAGCCACATCATCAAAAGCAATAATAAAGACTGCCATGTATATCTATCCTTATATTGTGCAAATTAAGAAGTGTTCTAAGGAAGATAATGAAAAAATGTTGGAATTTTGACAAGGTCAATAAATGTCCAAAAAGCTTAAAGAAAAAAAAATTAATGAAAATATTTGTGTCGCAAAAGAATTCCCCACGTTTTAGTTCCCTATACTAATTATATTATATTATGAAAGTAGTTACATTATTTAAGATTACAAAATTATTAAATCTAACGAAACATGTTTTTAGGGTTAGGATTTGCCAAAGATGGAAGAGAAAATGTACCTGGAAGTGATTGTGTGAATCTAGTGTGAGTGGTAAGTCGGGAGAGGAGTGGGTGGGATTGGCCGGCAGTTTTACCGACGAGCGAGGATCGGCCGCCATGCACACTGCCGTCGACTGGCACATGAAGCCTCTCAGCCTTTTTCTTGAGTTCTTGTCCTTCATCACTCACTCACTCAATTCCTCAGAATATGGAAGAGATGGAAACCATATATACTATACATATACATATATATATAGATATCATACATCCGTATATATATCTATATGGGAAGATAAAACTTTATTTTTTGTGGTCATGAGACATTTATGACTTAGCTAACTGGGCCAAAGGCCACTTTTAACTGACTCTACTCTGTCCTCTCTTCATCACTTCTCTGAACTATTTACTATTTACTTCTTTCAAAAACAATAAAAAAATTGTACAACCATTGATCTCGTATAATTGCTTACTATTGTGTTTGGAAAAGTTATTGTCATGAAATATATATATATATGTGTGTGTGTGTATATATATATATATTTATCCGTAAGTTGAAGTTCAATTAAATG